CACTGAAAAAACTATAATTTGGAAAACAATTTTTATCGGGTAAATGGTGATACTCAGTATTGATATCAAGTGTATAATATTGGGAGTTTGTGTAATGTGTTATGTTTTTTACTCAGGATTACACCAATTTACCATAGGTCTTGAATATTCAATATCCAGTTATGTACTTTAATTGTGGACGCTAAAGCGTGGATAAAAGCTAAGGTATTGTGCTCTCATCTACTAGATCATACAATTAGCGTAAATTACAACCTGAATACGATGGAAGAGTATAAAATGTAGAGATGTGTAAATGTTAGGAAAGCACAAAAGATGATCCCAAAGCTATGTTGTATAGTTAACCTTGAGATGTAAGGCAATGAAAATATAAATTTCACAATTAGGTACCTAGGAAAAAAATAGGAATACTAAATAACTGCAATATAGTAATTGTTAGCACTCACTTAGTACCAATCAGATTTTATAGTGTTGATGAATTAGATATAAATCGTTACATTGGCTAATTTCACATAGATTGTATCACAAATAGGTTAGTGATCTTTCTTCAAAATATTTTTTTTTGTATTTAGGTAAAATATCTTTATCAATTTTAGTAATTTGAACCTACCTTGTTGGATTAACCTTGTGTAGTGCAAGAAAATGATAAACTGTCCACAACCTATAGTAAAGGGGTAATAAAAGGGGAAGTTGGATTGTTTATTTGGCAGTGATAAACTCAGACACCGCTGGACCGATGGCTACGAAACATACATGTAGAATGTCATAGAGTCCATCAGTTCTGTGATGACCTTTAAGTCTTAGCCCTGGAACCGTCTTAAAGGTACATATGTCAGGGATTTTGAAAAGAATATTTAAAAAGAATCAAAAGTTAAAAGGCTTACCAACAGATTACAGCACTATTATTTTTCCCCTGTTGCAAAGCACGGATACATCAGCTGGTTCGAATAAAACCTGTAACTTCATAAACACGTTGCAAATATCCTATTCTAAACCTCTTGCTGTTACCACTAGCCAATCTAAAGTTAAATAGTGATGGTTTTTGTCAAAAATAAATACAGGGTGAAATTAAAGCAAACCTGTGCACTCACCCGATTCTCAACAGATTTTGATAAAAAAGAGATAAAATTACGACAGATGACATGTTTAAATGTTTGGTTATGCCATAACAAACTGTTCTATCTATTTATCTTTGTAACATATAGCTATCCTTAATAGCTGCAATAAGAATAATAGACTCCGATTTTGTTCCTGAGATATTGTTCAAACGTTTTGGTAGAGGGGCAATTAATTTTTTAAATGATGAATTTCTCCCTTGACTTCAGTAGATCCATATGTCTAATTAGCTTAGGTGATTAGGCTGTATAAGAATGGATTCATTCTCTAATAGCAGTTACTATACAGAAAAATAATGTAAAAGGTCAAGTCACAACTTCGGCCGGCTCATAATAAAAACTGAAAAGTATGTCGGGCAAACTATAGTATATTTCACTTCTAACTCACATGTAAAACACTATCTCGCCTCGAAATGGGACTTTCGTGATTAGTATTGAACGATACTTTTTATCACAATGAAAAAAACTACTTCATCGAACTTTAAAAATATATAATGTTTCGTAATCAATTCATTTTCCTTATCTAAACATAAAACGGCTGTACAATACAATTCAGCTGATTGTAACTTTGTCGGGCAAAGTATTGTTTGTATAGTGAAAGTAATGTTTATGTAGCAAAAGTAATTATATGTCAGGAATAGTCAGCTGATCACTGTTTTTGGTGTATGGAAATTAAGATTTTCAAAGATATCAGCTGGAAATAGGCTATTTTTGAATACAGAGTCATGAAAAGTGATTTATAGGTGACTAGCTGTACCCGCGGGCCGTCAACTTCATAAGTGAGCTTGTTCGCTTGGCTCAATCACGTCCTGGTTGAAGTTCGTTCGCTACGCTCACTCACCTTTAGGTGTGAGCACGTTTGCTGCGCTCACTTGCCTTCAGGTTAGCTCGTTCGCTACGCTCACTCACATTTTGGTTACAAATTAGCTGTTGTCATAAAATAAAAAAAATAATAGTGCTGTACCCTGTAGGTAATCTTTGTAACTTTAATGCTATTAAACATCATAGAACAGAACGAATTTGTTTAATTGAAACAGCTGTTAAGATTAATTTATTCCATTTAAATATGAGTACTCATAAGGTTAACATGGGAAACTCCAGAGCCACTGGGGCGGAGCCCGAGAATCCAATCAGAATAAAAACAACTCAGTTTTCCTATTTAATGCCTAAAGAATCGGTGTACCAAATTTCACCCTCCTAGGTAAATGGGAAGTGGGAGAATTAGTGATGAGTGAGTGAGTGAGTGAGTGAGTCAGTGAGGGCTTTGCCTTTTATATATATAGATAGATAGATAGATTTAACATCCCTTTTGAATCATTAATTTGGTAACAGCTATGCAGATTTTCCCTTTTACGGTTCTAACACACGTAACACTGTTATGTTGCGTTACATATCTACCTATGTCAGCTTCAACGTTGCACAAAAATCTGACAACAGTATTTGTGATGTTACTAACAGAGCTCAGACTTTTATATTTCAGCGTAATTATGTGACTCAGCATTTCGTGTATTGTCACTGTAAGCTTGTATTGAGTGTAATACTGTATCATAAACCTTATGACAAAATAAAACCAGTAATTGAAATTTCCCACTCTTTATATAAATATTCATCTTATGTTAGTTTGACAAGAATGATGACCTTATAGTGTCTTATATTGCGCATGAAAATAGATTTTGCTCAATACATGGAGATAAAAAGCATCAGAACCATGTTTTATAGTGGCTATTTTACAATTACTATTGCTGTGTTCCTGAATTGCTTATCTTCCACTATCCATCAGTCAATGATTTTTTATATTTAAGATTGTTAATTTCTATTAAAAGCTAAAGTTAATTAATGTATTGATATTTTGTGTGTTCGACCTATCAACGTTAATAAAAAACAGTTTGTAGCTAAAATAACTACTATTTAATAAATATTACCAATTTATAGTGTTTTGGAAATAATTATTGTGTATATTCTGTAAAATCATGTTGTAAGTAGCAAATTGAGACAACTGTTTCCATTATACTATTTGTAGCTTTCACAAGTGATGCGCGCGCATGCCTATGCGTCCCCTGCCAAGGGGAACCCATCTGCCGCCTAGGGGGACCCCACCCTAAGAATAGATGCCACACATCCTGTGTCACCCCTGGCATGTATATACACAGTAGTATACTGTGTTTTTCCTCATTCTCATTGAGGAGCTTGATCGTGACGGACGTGTTTTTGCTCTTGTTCCTTTTGTGTTGTGTCAGGAGCTTACTTGTACCATACGTAAGTTGACTCTTTATTTCTTAGGCCTATTTTTAAATACTTGCAACATGTTGGGAAAAACAGCTACTTTGGATAATGTAGTAAAACCTGTGACATTCTTACATAAAAATGAAACCTATGTAAATAAATTTAGATTGTATGGAAGTAAATCAGTATTTAAATTTTCAAATCCTCCCCCTAACACAAGTGAAATTGACTGGCTAAGACAAGGTTTTGGTCAAATCGTTAGAGAAATGAAAGAGCAAGCATTTGAAAATGATCAGCTGGGGTTTACTCTGGAGAGTCTTAACTTGAAATCTAAGGAACCTGGCTATGTAAATTTTCGTCCTGCTAGTGAAATTAATGAGGACGTATTGTGGCAAATCTTTGCGGGTATTGTACAGTCAAACTCTGAAACAATCAAATCTACGGACACTTTTAAAGTAGAGTGCACTCGAATTAACCTCCCTGTGGGATCTGGAAAAGTAAGACCAGGGTTTTACAATACTTTTGATGAGGAGTGTAAAGCAAGGAAAGGAATTGTTGTTATTAATAATAAGGACAATCTGTGTTTACCCCGTGCAATTGTAGTGGCTATAGCCAAAGTAACAAATGATCCAGACTATAATCTGATTTGTAAAGATCGTAGACAGAGACAAACTGATAGAGCTCAAGAGCTTGTACGTCGTGCTAGAGTAGAAATACCCAAGATCGGTGCGGGGATTCCAGAGCTTGAGAAATTTCAGTTTCTTAACAAACTACAAAATTGTTGTGTACAACTATGACAGAAAAGGACGTGATGTCTACTTTGAGGGAAATGTAGAGAGCCCCAAGTTGAAAATTAACTTGTTGTTTCACAATGGTCACTATAATGTAATTAACAGTTTGACTGCTGCATTTGCATGTGTATACTTTTGTGAAGCATGTCATGTCCCCTACGATCATAAAAGAGAGCATCGTTGCTCAAACATCTGCCCGCAGTGCCAAAATATTTCACCTCCCTGTGTAGAGGAGCATGGGGGAATAGTTTGTCCAAAATGTAACATTACCTATCGTAACCAGGAATGTTTTATTGCACATGAAATTGATAAATGTAAATCTGTAAAAAAGTGTCTAGACTGTGGAAAGCTTATTCGTATTAAGGAACGTTCAACTCCTCACAAATGTGGTGAAGTGTTTTGTAAGCCTTGCGGTTCATTTAAACTCCCAAATCATAAATGCTACATGAAACCTGACACGAGAAAGCCTAAATCTAAAGACTTTTTGTTTATTTTCTTTGACTTGGAAACACGTCAAGATGAGTCCCTTCCCTCAGATTCAGACGCTAAGGTCCATAAAGTAAATTTGTGTGTGTCCCAACAGTTTTGCCATGAGTGTGTTGATGGAAAGTGTTGCACAACATGTGAAAACCGTACAAGAGTCTTTAAATCCAATCCAGTTGATCAGTTCATGAACTATGTGATGCAAGTTCGTAAAACGTTCAAAAATGTATGTGTCATTGCTCACAATGGGCAGGGTTTTGATTTTCAATTTTTGCTCAAGTATGTTCTGGAGGAGACCAAGTTCACTCCAAAACTTGTAATGCGGGGAACTAAGGTAATTTTGATGGAGATCGATAACGTACGGTTTATTGATTCACTAAGTTACTTCCCCATGCCTCTAGCTACCCTGCCCAAAGCCTTTGACTTGCCTCCCGAAAAGAAGAAAGGATACTTTCCACACCTTTTCAACACCCTTAAGAATCAAAATTATGTGGGTCCTATGCCGGAAAAAAAGTATTACTGTCCAGAATCTATGTTTGAAAAATCACACAAAGATTTTGAAAACTGGTATAACGAACAAGTTGCAAACCACTTTACATTTGACTTTAAGAAAGAAATCCTCGAGTACTGTGTATCAGACGTTGATATCTTGGCCCAAGCTTGCTTAAAGTTTCGTTCAATTTTCCTGCAAGAGTGTAATGTTGACCCTTTTATTGAAGCTGTTACCATCGCTAGCGCATGCAATTTGGCTTTTCGCAGGAACTTTTTGAAACCTAATACAATTGGTTTGATCCCAAAGAACGGGTATAGGCTTACAGACGCTCAGTCGGCTATTGCGTTACAGTGGCTATCGTGGGAAGAGGAGAAACGTGGAGTTAGAATTGAACACGCTGGTCGTGGAAAGGAAGTTAAGATCAATAAAATGAAAGTAGATGGGTTTGACGGTCTAAATATTTATGAATTTCAAGGCTGTTACTGGCACGGATGCCCTAAATGCTTTCCCTATGATCGTGATATTGCGTTAAAGGAGGACCCCTCTGACTCACTCCATTTGCGATATGAACGGACCAAATCTAAAATAGCAAAGTTGGGCAATAACGTTGTACAAATGTGGGAATGTGAATTTAGAAAGTTAAAAAAGACAGAAAACCTAAAACACCTAGAAAAGTTGCCGATCCTCAACAATTTACCCTTGAACCCAAGGCAAGCATTTTTTGGGGGAAGAACCGGGAATGCCAAAACCTACCACAAGTGTGTGGAGGGAGAAACCATTGAATACGTTGATGTTTGCTCTCTCTATCCCTGGGTATGTAAATACGGCAAATACCCTGTAGGCCACCCCACTATTTATGTAGGTGATAGAGAGTGTAGACAGAGAGGTCTTAATGTCGAAGGCCTATTAAAGTGTAAAGTACTCCCTCCACGCGATCTTTACCATCCTGTACTCCCGGCCAAAATGAATGACAAGTTGATGTTTGTTTTGTGCGCGACTTGTGGAGAAACTCAAAATCAAAATAATTGTGTGTGCCAAACAGAGGAAAGAGTTATAACAGGAACCTGGACCATGGACGAGATTCGTAAAGCAGTAGAAAAAGGCTACATTATCTTGGAAATGTTTGAACTTTGGGAGTATAAGGTAGCCACATATGAAAACGGGGGATTGTTCACGGACTTTATAAATAAATTTCTAAAAATGAAACAGGAAGCTTCTGGGTTCCCGGGCTGGTGTGAATCTGATGAGGACAAAAACAAGTACATTGAGGACTATTTTAAGAAAGAGGGTGTCCAACTAGAAAAAGACAAAATTGTAAAAAATGGTGGCTTAAGGTCATTGGCTAAGCTAATGCTCAACAGTTTCTGGGGAAAGTTTGGTCAGCGTGAAAACCAGACTAAAGCTACAATTGTTAGGGATCCAAAAACACTATTTAAGATGTTTTCAAGTCCTGAAATAGATGTAAATAGAGTACAGATTGTCAATGACGAGGTCGTTGTTGTTAGCTGGGAGTATATTGAGGAGGTTGGCGAGCCATTGAGAAATGTAAATGTTGTGTTGGCAGCTTACACCACTGCACAAGCAAGATTGAAGCTCTATGAGCATCTAGATTCTCTGGGTGGTCAAGTATTGTATTACGATACTGATTCTGTATTGTATGTATACAAGGGCGGTTTGTACAGAGTTCCCACGGGAGATTATCTAGGGGAAATGACCGATGAGTTGACCGAGTATGGACCCGGGTCATACATAGCAGAATTTGTATCTGGAGGGCCAAAAACCTATGCATACCTCGTGTGGTCAACAAACAAACAAACATTGATTCCCGTTTGTAAAATTAAAGGTCTCACTCTCAATATGAAAACCTCAAAAACAGTTAACTTTGACAAATTAAAAGAAATGGTATTGAGTGAGGTAAATATGACTTTAGAAATTGCAGAAAACAGAATAAGAAGAACCAAAGAAAGAGATATCATTTCCATAACAGAATGCAAAGTATTTAAAATCACAGGTCCTAAAAGAAAGTTTGAAGGAGAATATGGAACATTACCATTTGGTTATAGTAAGGCTCCTAGAGTACAGTAAACTGGGAACTGAGTGCAAAACTTTGTCACTATGCAAAATTCCTAGAGTCAACAATTTATACAGATTTCTTGGTACTTAAAATTCTATATCCTTTAATAAAAAAAAAACAGTGCCAGTAAAGCATCCTTAAAAATAATCATTCAGTTAATGGTATAAAATGACATGTCCTAAAGAGTAAATATGTAATTGAGTCTATTCTCTCCCTTGATGGCTAATGTAAGGACAGAAAGCAGCATTGAGGCGTTCAGATCTGGCGCTACTCCATGGTGTGTATGTGGGATTGTACATTGAGGCGTTCAGATCTCAAAGGACCTGAGCTACTCCCTGTGCATGTGTGAATGATGGTCACTGGCGCGGCTGACTAAAAGGCCCGTAAACCATGTGTGAAGGTCACTAGCACGGCTGACTAAAAAGCCTGTAAACCTTGTATGAAGGTCACTGGCGCGGCTGACGAAAAGGCCCGTAAACCATGTTTGGAGGGGTGAGCGTCATTTGGAAAGCCTCAGTAACTAGCTCTCAAATGTCCAAGCCTAAAGCAAGTTCAAGATGTAAATTTGTAAATAAGCTTCATAAATAAGGGAGAGGGCATTATACGGTGTCAACCAGGTAATCTGGACCGGCTGTATAATGCTTAACCTGGTTTCACACAGTGAAAGGATAGTCTCAAACCCTATCCAATATGAAGCTTTTATGATTTGTTATCATAGTATATACATACAAAAAATCTTCCAATACTTTCTTCTGTAATTTGCTGTAAACCTTGGTGGATGCTGAAGTATGTAAATATTAAAAGTTCTTGGAATCCAAAACTTTACAAGTAAAATAGGACAATGTCATTTCATATCAAGATGTAAGTAGTGATTTTGTAGATGATCATCTACTAGAGATGTTCCTTATTAAAAAACGGATTATAGTTTGAGGTGTTTCCTTGTGTGTGTGTGTACTCGCCCAACAGTCAGGCTTAAAATCCATAAGTCCAGGGGCTGGAGGTTGGCCTAAAAATCGTAAAACATTGCGTTATCCTCCCTATGTGTGTGATGCCCAACAGGCAGGCTTAAAACCCATAAGTCCGGGGGCCGGAGGTTGGCCTAAAAAGCATAAAACATTGCGTTATCCTCCATGTCACCTAATTTCCCTCTCCCCTCGGACTATAATCTGACAAAAAATTATAAAATCTCTGTCATTCTTAGTAAATAAAATGTCGTAGGCTAAAATGAACGGTTCGCCTAGTAAATGGCCTGATGACTTTTAAAATGAACGGGTTGACAGAGACAAAAAAAACATATTAAATGTCCTTTGTCAGTGGCAAAAAGGGTTAATTGAAAGGCTTCCCTAAGTAAATAACCCTTTACATTAGTCAAAGGATCAAAAATAATGGGATGTGGGAAATTTGTAAAAATTTTCATCATAGACTGCAATTGTTGAAAAAGCCTACCCCCAGAGGTTAGGACTCTTGGTGAAGCTCTGGGTTAACAAAAAGAACGCGCTGGGACCCTACGGCCTAGCCTAACAGCTTACCGTGGTGTGGAAACTGGGTCGCCTTAACTTATTTTGATGTTATGCAATAGACTACTATAGAATGTGTGACTTACGATTGAAGTTCAACTCAAAAAGATAACAACATACATTTAAAAACTACACATTTTCGGTCATTACGGTGTTTTCGCTTAACCTGAAGGTTTTTGAGTCATTTTCCGATTATGTAGCCAACAGTTATTTTTTATCAATCAAAATTAGAAGAAAAGTGTATTTTTATGGCATATTAGGGGATTTAAGGAAAATTTAATTTGTAATGCATAATATCATTGTAAACCCCTCTAATTTTTGTTTCATACATAATGTACCTATATGACATATTTGTAAATAAAGTGAACTAAGTACATAGTGAAAAAAAGCCTTGGGACATGTAATAAAAAAACCTACAAAAATGTTTACTGTACAAAGTTACTGGGCATTAAAATAATGTTAACACATTATTCAGTGATATGCTACCTCAACAGGGGACAGCCCACTAGGAGTCAGAAGGAATTCGTTTAAAATAGTGTTATTTAAACCCAAATATAAGTGTAGGATGAGTAATCACAACATTCCTCTTAACAAGACTTAACTGTTATAACTCATTGATTCCTATAAATAAGATGTGAAACAATCCCAGAAAATAACATACATTTACATTTATTGTAAAGTTGCAGACCTCGTCATACATATAACAGTTCAAAACCATACATTTAATAGATCCAGAATAAGACATACATATAACTGTTCTAGACCATACGTTTAACAATTTTCAGACCATAAATGAGTAACAGTTCCAAACATTTGTTTACGTACAACAGTTCCAAGGTATATGATTTAGAGAGTGGTATATGTTTAACAGTTCCAGATATTTGGTATACCTATAACAGTTTCAAAGTAAACGCTCCAGAGAGTGGTATATGTTTAAGAGATTCAGTAAAAGATATATATGTAACTGTTCTAGGTCATGGTATATGTACAGTTCTAGCCTATGATATACCTTGAAATCTCAACGGATATGTAAAAGAGTTTTATTTTCAAAAGTAACAATGAGTTTCTTACTAAGACATCCAAGTGAATATTTAGGAGTAAAATTGCTTAATTAGCTGAATAGACTTATCAAATATTCAGATGCCATACAAAAGCCAAGCTGAGATTATATTGCTAACTTCAAAGCATCAGGATGATTTTTTTTCCTGAAAAGACAGCAACAGTCCTGACATGTTTAACAAACATGTACAATATTATTGAAATCACCAGAATTTATCATAAAATGTACAAATAAGGGTTTAGATAAATCACACCACACTAACAAAACAGATGTTAACTCATGCTGTAGCTGATTGCACTAAACGTTTCCAGATGCGTTGCTAAATGTCTAATACCACTGTAGATGCCTCAAAATAACTTTCCATGTCATCAAGTTATGCAGGCCATAGTGGTTTTCCTAATTGATAAGTATCATAAGGTAGTCATACTAGGATGGCCTTGGTTTGGTGGCAGTAGTCGTAAAACACAACCAGAAATCACAGGCTAAAATAAGTAATTGGAGACAGTAGTAGGTAAACATAGGTCATAATCAGTAATTCAAAGCCATTCAGGTAGTCAAGGGTCACAATATGTAGTCTGATACTGTGATTAGTTATCACAGATCATTATTACAAGTCGCGCAGGCCAGTAGTTAGCGCTCTCCATGATGAGAAATGATCTACCATAATAAAAATCAAAGGGCGTAATCGGCAACAACAGGCCATATTTGATGGTTAAATAACATAAAAAACAACATAATGGATAAGCGATTGTGGATCAAAACCACAGGCCGCAATCGCTGTCATAACCCGCAATCACAGGTCGTAATCGGTAAACGTAGGCCATAATCCGTAAACACAGGTCGTAATCGCAGGCCGTAATCCGTAATCACAGGTCGTAATCGGTAATCATAGGTCATAGTCCGCAATCGGAGGGCAATCATAGGCCGTAATAAGTGACCTCAGGTCATACTCGGTAGTAAAAAAAAGACATAATCAATAACCACAGGCCATAATCGGTAGTCACAGACAGTGACCACTGGCCATAATAGGTACTTAAGGCCTTATCAAAAGCCATAATCGGTCAACTGATCACACACCATAATCGGTAATTAAAGACCATGATCGGAAATCACAATAGTTAAATAGGTAACAAGACAAAGAGGACGTACATTACGCAGGAATTACAGACACAAAATACCCCTAGGGGTTGAAACTTATACAACACAACAGAAAAGAGGTCAACACAAGACATAAGTTACCTCATATGACTTCTTAGCAACACACATCAAATTCACCAAAAAGATAACAATAGCATAGTTTCATGAGCAATAGCACGACCATGTGGACAAAAGTGAGGTTAAATCACGTGGATACACCTAAAGTGAGGTTATACAACATGGGTGTTAGTATACCTAAGGTTAGATGCCGCCATCTTGGATTTGTCTTAAACGACCGGGCATCCTACTAGTTTCAAGCAAACGCAAAGACAACCAACATAAACATGATTTTTATAAGGGTTTTATATGATTAAAAATCAATACCTCCAGTATTGTTTATGTTTTTCTATATGTTTTAGACTCAAAATAATCAATAAATTATAGGCTTTAATTTGAGCTATTGATCGTTTGAATTAGTTAAGCGTGGTTAAGCTCAAGATACTGTATTACTTAATCAAAATTTTTATTATTTCTCGGATATTATATTTATTTTAACTCTGCAGAGCAGCATGGGTCCTCTAGTATGATCCCTAACAAAATTAAGTAAGTTATGCCAACAATAGTATGAATTAGAATCAAACTTTTAGTTGAACTCCAGTTAATCTGATGGAAAATACAATACACCTCTTACACCACTTGGCATTGTATTTGACTGTATTTACATGAGACAAGTGGTTTGTTCGAGATACTCTTGTGGTTGTGGTGAAGCGTCTTACGTTGGTGTCAGTATGTGGTTTGACGAATTAGTGGTTGGTGGCTTACGGTTTTGAGGTATGTTTGGTGTTAGACAAGCTATAATATACTTCCTTCCTTAGATTTTTGTATTGGAAAGATTACAATGTTTTCTTTCGTATTTACTTTTAAGATAACATAGTTTCCGTTTTATTATTACATTTGGTTCGTCTATAACGAACGCAATATATCGTTGTTAGATGGATTTTAGATAGAAACAATGCGTAAAACATCCCTTAAATACTCAGTATTTGGAGAGTCAACGAATTATTTGTATTTTGTATAAGTTTATTAAAGCACACAACCAGTATTTTCGATTTAAAACTGACCATTTTCGTTTTGTTGTAATATTGCATCTTAAACAGATCAAATAAGACCAATATCGTTGATATTAACATTGTTTGGAAAGTATTTTTGACACCACGTGAGTTCAAGGATCTATAGATGACTTTCCCTTTTGGTTTCCTTTTTTGTATAACTTGGTTAACTCATGAACTTTTCGTGTAGCGTTTTTTATTGATTGTAATAGCGTCAAATATGTAAGTGTAAATGATGATATTAATGATTTTGAAATACTACATTTCATATATGCTAGGAAAATCTGTTTAAATTCCCACAAAAACTAAATTATAGTTCTCATTGTTAGTAAATGTGTTAAGTTTATAAACTTATCAACATATGGTTACTAATAGAAACAATTTGCATATTTAGTTTAATTTCTTCAAATTACATTTTTGTTATTCATTAATTGGTTGTATATAGATTATATGTCCTTTGTTATCATATTTTGGTCAAAACATACATAGCAGATTCTCTATATC